TTTGATGAAAATTGGCAGATATTCCGTGGATTAATGCACAGATTTGATTAGTATTGGGTAAAAATCCATGCATATTAATTACACAGTGCACAGACCAGACTGGTTTTAGGTTAATAATATTTGCATATTAATTACCTAATTTGCGTAATTCATATAATATACTAGTATTCAGTATAGGTCTCCCCACCTTCAAAATTAACAACTTCCGGTTCGTATAAACCATAGCTTTTATATAGCCTGAGAACAACGCAAACTGGAGATTTATTTCATAAGGGAGAGTTCCGACCCCGGGACACCTACTTAAATATGAGTGTGTGAATCGACATTCACGGTGAGTGTGAACTGAAATATTCCACCAGCGTGCATAACACGTAATGCCAGTTCAAAGGTCAATTCGGGAGTCAAACGTACTGATACTGTTTCCAGTGGGTGGCAGATCCCGAGATGCTGCATAAAAACTATTACATCCGTCATTTTTGTTACCTCTTCCCGCGTTACGTGCTGTGCGATTTCTAACCCCAGAGTTCTTAAGACCACCCACCTTATTCTTGCTATTGCGTGTGAGTGTAACAATCACGGTGTTATTTGCATGGTCAGATCACATGCCGATCACTTTAAAACAAATTATGCGTAATCTTTAGCTAACATGGTTCAAAAATGTATTTTTACTTCAGATTATCATTTTAACTTTTCATCTAAGTTTTGGAGTTTCTTGATTACTCACAGATCTCAAAGTTGCTTTAAAAAGAAAAGTTGTATTTAAAAAGTAAAGTAAAGTAAAGTAACGTGTAATAAGTTATTGCAGATTCGTTCTTGGTTCTGTCATCTTGACTTCTTGGTATACTAGTGACTGCAACTTTTCGTTGAGTGTTGGTAGGTTCAGCAATGCAGCTGGTTCTCGGCGCCAAAAATGTGATAGAGGAAATACATAGATCAGGAAAGACGATATCACGGAGAGACGTTCGATTGGTGGTTGAAAGAACTCTGATTTATTCTGGAAATGGTCACGCAATACATAACGCACATAAAAGGTGTCGCCAAAACAATACATTGCGCTGACCAGGTGTCAGGAATTAATTAAATCAATTAATAGTATTACAATAATTAAGATCAAACATAAATAGAGTATAAAGTAAGTATGAACATAAACATACAGAGTGAAAAATAAACAAAAACAGTTTCCCACAGTTGTTGTTGTTGTTGTTGTTGTTGTCTTTGACTTTTTTCCTGTGGTTACAAGAGTTGTTTTCCAATCC